GTCATCAGCCAAGGTTTGCCGTTATACTTGTGTGTGCGTGTGCGTGTGCGTGTCCTGCAAGGGACAGGAATCCTGTTCAGAATGTACCCCTAACTAGTGCCAAGGATGAATGAATGGCGGGATGAACACAAAATAAAAAATACCCAGTGTGACCAGATAATGCAGGTGGAGAGGCGGCTCTTCGCCAACCATAAAATGCCATCCGATTGGCATTCCCACCGCACCCCCATGCCGCACTCCTGTATGTCAGGTAGGTCGTGTTATTCTGCTGAAATATGCGCTGTTTTTTTTTTCTCCTCCACCTGCATGTCACGAAGCGACCGAGGGCCTGTCACTTCCCGGGAGCCGCGTCTGACTCTTATCACCGCGTCTTATCACCTCACCGCGGTTCCGTGTTCTCTGGTACTTTGGCACATTGTAATGCTGGCATTTTAATGTCAATCAAAATTTTAAAGATAAAAAATGAATTAGAAAAAAAAATAAGAAAAAGGTCCACATATTCCCCGCTTAAATAGCGTTTTGTGTTTGCCATTTGTTAATTTTTACATCCAGCATATCATTGGCACTTTTATTCAGAAGAGCCTTTTGGGACAATGTTTTGTGCGTCAGTACTATAGTTATTTAACTAGTCTTGTGTATTTAATCTGAAATTGACCACTTCCATTAAAATATTCTTAACAAGAACATAGATCTATATCGTGACATGTTATAAACAGGAGCCTAATTGCTGTAGATGGTGCTTTTCGGTGAACATACGTTTGTTAATATTGTACCGACGCTAACGTTTTAAGGGGGAACAATCTGGCTCTGCCAAGGCTCTGTTAACGGGGCTGCCCGCTGTACTAGTACGCCCAGGTTTGGCGCGTTATTGCCCCCTACTGGCGAAGGGAGGAAAGTATCGTGGAGCTCCTCACACGTGTCCTTGTGGGCATGGGCTAAAATGATGAGGAGGGTGGACTTGGCACGTAGACGCTCCCCATTCCAGCTCTGGTGAAGGGTGATGCATGGGTTGGGGACAATGACAAATAATAACCAGTTTACATTTATAGAAAGTATGCTCCCAAACACGAGTTCAATACCCTGAGTTTAATTTGAAAAATGTCTCACATTATATTCTGTCATCACGGTCATGTAAGAAGTTCTGGATAAGGCCGTCAGTTATTCACATTAATGTAAATATAAATTTGCGGAGCCAGCCAGGAGACTAGTCTTTATAAAAAGTACTGTACCAACACTGAGGTCTAGACTCAGCGAATGCACTCTGCAAGATCAGAGCCGTTAGTGTTGCCATCAGACTGCAGGGACGACTGGGTGATAGCCCATGAGAATGTGTAATCTCAAGCGGCAGACAGACTGGAGAGGCAGAAATGAGGCAGTAGGATTTGCTGGTACAATGCGAGGCAGGAATAGTTTATTCCCATTTAAGACAGTGACACGCCATTTTTCTTATTCCGTTATTTATTAGACGTAAGGAATCAATGGTCTTGTGTTGCTACCAAGGCCGTGGGGATAAATATAATTATACTTCTCCAACATGTTGGGAAATGGAAAGCAGAATCGTCCAGGGGGACTTTCAGCATATAAACTGGTAATTTGGCCATGCTACGATAAGGCAAAGGTTTTGTGCTTTTTAAGCAGGAATACGCCGGAGTGACTAAAATGGAAACATCGGCACTGTCAAACGCGCCCCCAGGTGCCGAACCAGCTAACGAGTATCACAGGTGGTGTCACGGCAGCCCAGGAACGGCGCCGGGCAAGACGGCTCGACCTTCGCCGCGTCCCCCTGCAGGCACGGCCTGCGACTGCGCCCTCAAGCATGACGAGGCTGTCGATTGGCAGCAGGGGTCCTCGGAAGCCACGGGTGGCTGTCTCAGTGCCCGAACGTGACATTTCCTTCCCCTCGGGACGGGTGTCCTTTGGGACGATAGACTCTTCTGCCGCAATGGCATTTTTTTTTGGAGCCAGGGACATGAAGTAACTTAGGTTTCATAAGGACAATTTCTGGTCATTTCGGTCCCATCCTGGCTTTCTTGGTTACACGCTATACCACAAGGACTCAATAACTGACACGCATGAATGCTGGAATCAATGCTTTTTTATTTCTCCACCGTCTATAATAAATCCACAGCCTGCAGCTGAATCAGTTACTTCCCAGGACTATTTTGCAGTTATTACACAACCGAAGGCTTTGTAATTTCTTTAATAACTTTATTATAGGGCTGGGAAATGGGACTGCCAGGGTATTTTTAATAGGTTAAAACCACAGAATAAACACGTAAAAATAAATGTGTGATGGTCACGTGACATCTGGGTAGACATTTACAATCTAATCTTTGACAAAACCAAGGGAGGAAGCTTCTGTCATTTCACAGCCGTGGAAAAAATAAGAAAACACAGCACAATTTTTTGTTTCACCCATTTCTCAATTTATGGATGTGCATCTGTTTAAACATATGCAAACTGCAGCATAGTTCTTTTTCTGTTTCTCGTTAATAAAGGGCTTCTTTGTTCCTTTAAGGGACTTCAGTCCTGCTTCTGGCAGCCTGATACGAACTGTCCTAGCAGTGCACTTCACACCTGCACTTAATGTTTCCCATTCCTTTTGAAATTCACTTGTCATCCTACGATTCGTGAGAAACTGTCAGATAAATTAACGGTAATCTCTGGCATTAGAAAGTTTAACTGCCTGGTTTCTGGTCGTTCCCTGCAGTGTCTCCTGCTTCACGTTCTTCATCTGCACTGCTGTCTTAGAAACTTTGAAGCTGGAAGCAATCTGCTGCTCAGCGTAGCCTTCTGCCAGTAGAACCAGGATTAAAGCAGCATTTAAAAATGCAGATTTGTTTAAAAACATGGAGTAGTCACATAATTTTTTCCGCGGCTGTATGTCGTCATATAGGTACCTATATACTCATATAATAACATGCTTTATGTTCTGCTAAAGGGTGAACAGCTGAAATACAATGGTACTTGTAGATGTTGTTGAGCTCAGTGCCATTGTGGTCAGATATAAAGCTGTCAGTCACGGCAATAAAAGAAAAGTGCTTTTCATTTTAAGACTTTTGTCCTTCGTGTCCCAAATGACGAGCGCGCCCCCTACAGGTAGCACCGACGCAGCCCACAAGTCGAGCGCGCGGCCGCTGCCGAAGAACCCGCGGGAGAAAAAAAAAACGTACATACGATGGCCTGCGAGACACTAACGACGTAAAGTACCAATGCATGAGCTACATGTATAAGTGCAACGTGATCACCGTGGGAACGCCGAGTCGTCCTCTTCAGAGGTCTGTGCAGAGTGACGTCTGTGCCGAAATCGACATCAGGGCCCTCCACCTTCCCGGTGATGCGGGGGCCATCGGGGAAAATTAGCATCTGTGGTCAAACAGCATTGAGTCAGACGCTGGGTTTCGATGACATCCTGCATATCAAAGGGGAGACATTGTACATCCTACATTACTCAGCAAATTCTGACACTAACGAAGTACCTGACACTATATACATTGTTAAATAAAGTAATCAGAATAGTGCTCCATACAAAGTGATATACACTGATTCATAGGGGCAAAGACAGATTCATAGGGGCAAATATATATGATATGCTTTCAGGCATGAAGACACCAAGACCTGAAATTATATGGACCATTTAAAAACAGCGGGCCGCCTTAATCAGACACACCTGCTTCTTAATGTCAGCAGCACACAGATGGGTTCAAAAGGTTTCCGTGCCCGTGCAGCTGAGCATTAGGACGGCTCAGATGTTTAACGTGGTGTGATTGGGGGAATGGAGTGGTGAAGGACACTGATGTCCCTGCTGCTGAAAATGCCTTGCTACTGACAGTCATCAGAGAAGAATGTCTAGGAACCTCAAGAAAAGCCCAAGTGCAAAACAACAGCTTAGCACTACAGTGGTGTGCAGAAAGCTTTCTTTGGAAATATGGTCTGTCCTTGAAGCGGTTCTTTTGGCAAAAGTACGTCCTACCCAGTACTAGCTGAGGGTACCTAATAAAGCCACCAGTGAACGTATGTTCTGCGTAACTGTATCATTTCTTGTTGAAATCACTAAGGAGTAGATCTAGCAGTTAATTAATAAAGCGACGACTGGGTGCATAAGATACTTAATGCAACGCAACAGTACACAGACATGTGCTTATTGCTGCACGACAGTTTCAATAGCTTAAGCCGTATGACACCGTCATTATATTTGCTAATTGCTAATGATCTGACACTCGCTTAACATCTTATGCTTATTTTATTTTTAATTTAAGAAATGATCAACAATTATATTCCCCGTTTGTTTCTGTGTTGGGGGGTCATTTCTAGATCCGACGAAAACAAGCTTCCTCGTAAAAGACGACAAATCGTAATATTGTTCTGCTAAAAACGCACCACATCATGCAATTAGAACGTTTCTTCAATAATTAAAAGACGACAGCCGACGTGACATGAAATTATTAACAGTGACGTGCGGACACTTGATCGCCATTCAACAAGTAAGCACCGTTCCTGCAGCGCTGCAGGGCAATATACTGAATATTGCTGTACCGTATTTGCCGTATTTAAAACTATATATGCTTAGAATTAAAAGTTGCACCAATTCACCTACCTTTGGCTCCCTGCGTTAATACGGTTAAATGTATTCATTGTCGACGTCTCTGCAAATATACCAGAGAATGATATAGAGAATGAGCAGAATGGCGAATAGAAATAGCGCTATAAAGATGGCTTTGGTGACAGGAGAGACCACGGTCTGCATTGCACGGAGCCCGGCGGTATGTGGCTTAAGAGAGGAGAGCGAGAGACGCTCCGGCGCTGCTCTCACACCCCCTCGGCGGGACCCCACCCGAGTCAAGGGCACCACAGCCTCGTCTGAATCTGCCCTCGGTGCTCAATCGTGGTAAAACATACGACACCGTCGTGTCATATGTCACAAGTAACGGTGTTATCAATTTAATGCTGTTTTGCTTCTGCCATACAGATAATAAAGAATCCTGAATAATACCATCCACTTACTGAAAAATAGTTTTTAATTGTGATATTAATATATTTATACATTACTGGATTTAAGGCAATATTACATTGCAGAGCTTGTATGCTAGCATGAATGCGGAACTGGGCTTGGCAAAGATATATTTCTGATTTTATTAAAATGTCACAGCATTTGTCCTTTAAACTGGACGAGAGAGGGCAGTCTCTTCCGTTAATCGATGCGCCTAGGAGCGCCCCCTTGTGTGGAGGGTCCAGCCTTGTCATATGAGTCTTCCAGTTCGTTTTGGCACTGGACCTGGGAGGGTGTCACCCTTGACCCAGGGGCCTTGGGATGGGGGGGGGCTCCTCGTGCACCACTGTCTGGTGCTGAGCCCGCATGCTCGACAGGACCCCACCCAGTATCCATCAGCATGGCCACCAGCTTGGTGGCGTGTCTCTGCCCCGTCGAGATCTTCATCACAGGGCGGCCAGCACAGTCCAGAACCCCAGCGAGGGACATTGTTATCTCAGCCCGTCTCCTGAGAGAGAGAATTAATAACAGTTTAAATAAAACATATTATTATTGCTATTAGTTGTTAGTATGTCCTTTTATAACGGGCCGCATTACTGTATGTGGGGGTGCTTACACATCCGTGGACCCTTGGATTCTGCTTCGCCGGACTGCCCAGCACAGAAGGCACAGGGCTAACAAGACGATCCCCAGGATCACCATGATGGCGATGAAAACATTAGTGTTGAGCCACTCGGGCGTTGTGCTGATTCCTGGGGCCACTGTAGGCCCTGATGTGTTCATATTTTGCCCCAGCTTTGACCCTACAGTTATTAAATATGATTAAAAAAAACGTTTCATTTTTCCTCTTATTATACTTTCCATTAATTACAGCTTTGCCATTTACTGAATGTACAAAAATATCACGCAAGGTGTATGAAGGACAGGGATGCCTGAACATGAGATAAATACATTTTTAAGAATGTCAAAGCTTCATATATTATTAGTGATATAAATGTCTATCTCTGGTCTCACCCATACTGCTTCTGGGACAGGGCCTTTCTGGGAAAAGCTGTTGGAGCCTTCGGGCTGAGAGCAGGTGAGTCACAGGACCTTCGGCTGTCTCAGGGGTTTGGACATCCTGCCCTGTAAGTGCAGGCTGCAGTAGGTTAGTGTCCCATCCCACTTGCTTCTTTTGGCTTTCATGCAATACAAGTGTCAGGACCCCCCCCCCCACCCCATAACGTGGGTCCAACATATTTGCAGTACACTCCCTTATTTCTCCTGTGTACCATCCATCCATTTTCTGGAACCACTTGTCATATTCAGGGTCTTGGGGGGTCTGGAGCCTATGGGCACAAGGCAGGGAACAACCCAGGATGGGGCACCGACCCATCGCAGGACACACTGACACTCACACATATGGGCAATGTGGTAACTCCATTTCACCTTAACATGTTTTTGGGCTGTGGGGGGGAAACCAGGGAACCCCCACAATGACACGGGGAGAACATGCAAACCCCACACACACACATGGAATCCCAGCAGAGACTCGAACCCAGGTCCCAGAGGTGTGAGGCGACACTAAACCAAACCACTGCACCTCTATGCAAGCGTTCGCCTTCTGTACCTAGTACTTAATTGTAGTTTTGAAACTTATTTTCTTACTTGTCATTTGTTCATGCACTATTTATAAACAGTTATAATGTTATACCTACTGTTATAATTAGACCGTATTTAATATAAATTTTGATACAGTATTTGTATTTATTTGTTGTTTGTTTGTGCACTCACCGTGGGTACAAGAGAAATGCAATTTCAGTCCTTTGTATGTCCTGTACATATGGCAAAATTGACAAATAAAGACTTTGACTAAACTAAATGATTAATTCGGGTTCGTTTGTTACGGTACTTCTGACACGTGCTCTTAGATAATTTTGAAACCATATTACGCACAGCGATTCTTTCAGGTGTACCTACATCACATCACCAGAGGGTGGCGACAGAGATGCTATCCCGGTTCTGAGCGGCAATCAAGTCTAACGAACGAACTAAACGAATCGGCGCAATACCCGAGATATTTCGTTCCCTTAAGTGAATAAATATAGGTAATGGAATCTATACTGTAGCTATAGCCAGAGGAGCAGGACAGATTTTTCACGGGGGGTAATCAAAAGTTGAGCAAAAGGTCTCAACTAAGGTTAACCAGCCATTCTTCCTGAGGTATTTGGTGTGATTTGAGCTAATGGTTCAACACATTAAACATTTTGATTGTCACTGGTCGACACACAGACACATACACATAGGCCTATATTAAGTCGTTAGCCTTTTTGTATTAACATAAATTAGCCTACCTGCGATATGGGCAAAATAATGCTGAAAATTTAATTCAACATAGGCTTGGTATAGGTTAGTTCTGTAAGTCTAATTACATTGTTTACTCATTTAGAGCACGCTGTGAGAGATCTGTGTTTAGCCTGGATTGTTTTTATGTAGTGCACAACGCTTTGGTTCGTCCGGTACAACTCAGTTCTCATCCTATACAGGACCCGAAACCGGCAACGGCGGAACATGAACCTAATGTACGAAGTCAGCATAAATGCGGCATGTATAAATGCCTTTGAGTAAAATGGTTTAGAAAGTGACATCAGTTATTTTTCGTCCGATACTTCGGTCGGGCATCGTGGAAGTGGAACATTTTGGAGCCGTGGAACATTTTACAACACACTGCGGGAAAGTGTGTTCCAAAATGTATATTTTCAACGATCGTTCGGGGAATATTGCAGTTTTTAATGACTTTAAGTGTCGTTTATATTGTTTGTGTCTGCGCAGCTGGTAATATGACACTTATAGGGAAGATTAATCCGCATCACACTGAAGCAAGTTAACGGTAAACGGATTAAGGAAACTAGTCTTACCACTTGGGAGCGTTGCATTTTCATTGAGTCCGGTCATGTTTACATGGAAAAAAATCAGTGTGCGTGCACTGCTGTACTAAATGAAACGATGCAGTTTATCAGAAATGCTGCTACCCAGGAAATTCATATGTACTTATTCGGAATTTCTATTAATTCAAATGTAGTCTGATAATTATTTTTCCGGTAAATTTCAACTGGGTTACGGGACGTTAGAGGAAAACACGTTTAGATTCAAAAGAAGCAGAAACGACTCTTGTAAATAAGAATAGCACTTATAAATACAAAAATCACCACCAACGTACAAAAGTTGCCAAATGTCAAATTTACCTAAAGGGCACTGGGATTTTAAATTTTTTTTTGGTCACACATATATAGTGGATGTTTATTAAACTTGGACTTAGTTAAAATATGCAAGAGAGAATTAAGATAGATTCAGAACTCAGACTCTACACTGATTCAAGTTTACAAGAAATATACTACACTGTATAGTATGCACAGAAGCTAATGATATATTACACATTCAGGGAAAATAACAGATAAGCGCCAAGGAAGGATGATCTCTGTCTCCATCGGTGGTTTTGAGCACATCGTGGTGGAGCCCTCTCAGACAGGGTCGTGGGACCGGGGGGTATTTAATATGGATTCGTTAGTATTATCCAAAAAAAGACATTGCATTTTCAATTATTAGATTATGCCCCCTCATATCAAACTCTCATGCGCCGCTCCCCCTTAGATCGTCTTGACATTTCCCCGGCCCTACAGGTATGCTGTCTTAGACGGGTGTGTTGTGTCTGGAATCTCGGGCGATTAGTGACAAGTACCTTGGCATAATACATAGCTACACACAGGAAAATACGAGGGAGGAAGCCGGCGTGACTCACAAAGCTTACAGGCGTTTCCCAAAGCTGAAACATGCCTGAAACAAAACAACCCCTATGTTCGAATTGCCCAAAGCCTCACCCTGCTGCCCGCTGGGAGCACAATTACACGGTACTTTAAGTGGACCTATACCGAATAACAAGGGGAGTGCCGGCACCTGTTTTTTCCCCACTTCAAACAGTGCAATTATACTAAATCATATTTTTTTAATTCTGATTAAGCGCATCCTTTGCACGACAGGTGTTTCAGGTTTAGTGTAGCGGAAGCTAAAACCATGGGTTCCTTTAAATCAGAGCTATAGATAAGATTTTAAGCTATTAGTTAAGTTCTCCCCAAACGAGCTTGATGGGCCGAATGGCCCCCTCTCGTTTGTAAATTTCTTATGTTCTTAAGAGTTAAAGGTCCAACTGCATTGCCCGACTGTCAGTAATATATCCCTGACGAATCCGCGGTGCGTTGACTCGTTTTGATAAGCAACGAACCGAGACGCGGACAAGCCCTGCACATGCTCTCCGCTTCCTGCGAAGGGGATTACAGACTGATGAGCCGCTGTCGAGGAGAAACCTGGCAAGATTTTTATTTATTTTATTTATGTATTTTTTTCTCATGAGTCATTTCACTTGAACAAAGTCTCCTGTATCTAGGATAAATGCTTTCAGGAGTTTTCAGTTCCTGAGCAACAGATACGTCATTTTTCGTAGGATTCAAACATGGGACATAATTCGTTTCCCAGGTTATGTACAAAGTTTATAAGTGTTGATCTAGTGTTATTATTTTAACGAAAATGAATACGTCGAGTGAATTAACTGTCCTCAAAATGAAACCATAATTTCCAGGAAGCCATTTAACCAATGTCTTGTTAAATCACTACATTTCTATTAAGATTTTTTTCTGATTTTTTTTCGTACCGCTATATTTGGTTTAACTAAAAGTCACCGTCACAGATACGGTAGCACACAGATACACGGACACACACTTCACCATTTGCACTGCTCTTACTGAAAAACGTTAGAAAAATTGCTGGATTAACGAGCCTGTAGAACCTTCTTTACCCATCCGTACAGTATATATCTCGCGCAGTTCTCAGTCACGAAGAGTCTGGTGCTCGTCCGCGTGGCACAGGGCGAGCGTCAGGGGATTCCCCGCGGCGCGCTATACCAGTTCATTATTGATGGTGTTTTTTCTTGGCCATACTTATCTGTAATTATGGCTGCTCACTCACTATTTATCTCTAACGCTGCAAAAGTATTAAAATTGAACCCATTGCATAACGAAGCGAGGCAGTTTTTGGAGTAGGCCTGTTTATTTTGGCCTAAACATAATCAGGAAGACTTGGTTTACATGACTGTTGTGAGAAGTGTGTCATGTTTATTGTTAAATGTTAAATCTTCAGCTTAACAAGGTGTTTTCAGCCACAGAAAATACATCAGCTGGATGTTTCTTGTTCATCACGCCGTTCTCTGTAAGCTCCTGCGAACATCTGAGCTGTTTCTGAGATGCTAGAATCACCACGTCTTCTACCAATCACACCGTGTTGAAATTCTGAGCCACTCTAATTCTCAGCTGCATGGGAACTCAACCTATTTACCCCATCTGTGTTTTGTATTTATGTAGTTGCAGCCACATAATTGGCTGTTTGAAGAAGAAGCTGTTTGTATTATTAGGCAGGGATGTCTTATTAGAAATAATGTTTGCACAGACTAATATTACAATGTCATGGTTATACCTGTGTTATATTGAGCAAAATGATACACAATTAGTGGCATCTTACAAAATTATTAGTGGAATTTAAGGTTAACACTATGGTCCCACACCTACAGGATTGTAGGCAGTGCTTGAAGTGGGGGAAAACAGGTGCCGGTACTCCCCTTGATATTCAGGACCAGGTGCCGGCACTCCCATTGTTATTAAGGACCCGTTGCCGGTACTCCCATTGTTATTCAGTACCCGTTGCCGGTACTTCCATCGTTATTCCGTACCATGTGCCGGTACTCCCATTGTTATTCAGGGCCTGGTGCAGGTATTCTGGCTGTTATTCAGCAGCAGATGCTGGTACTCCCCTTGTTTTTCAGTATCAGGTGCCGGTTCTCTCCTTGTAATTCAGTACTAGTTGCCCGCACTCCCCTTGTTATTCAGTTCCAGTAGATATTGAGTGGTGCTGATACTATTAAGAGAAAAACAGAGGCGCTGGTTCTATGTACCAGTGAGCACTGGCCCAGTTCAGGCACCAGGTGTCGGTGCTTGTCTCCACACCTGGCTCTGTCTGTGGCATTCCTTCCGGCTACTTTGGTGTCTCCCGGTGCAACAGCAGGCAGAGGGCATAACCTGGTGTCCTCACATAGCATTTACCCTGTGAGGAAATCATGTCTCATCCAGGTACTTCTGCCCTCCAGGTCTTTCCTATAAGAGGTTTCATGCTATACACTTATACTTTATACTATACTGCTGGGATCCTGATTATCAGCTGGCACAATTCCTGTATTTTGAAACTGGGGAGCAATAAGTACAAGCATGTTTAAACAAATTGCTGAAAGATACCTGGATGAATGATTTACAGGGAGGGCACGGTCTCACAAAGGGCGAGAAAGAAATCTTCAATAAAAGTTTGCTGAACACTGGCAGTTTGACATGTAGGTTTCCAGATATCTGTCTTTTACAATGAAAGTTTGTGAAACCTTTGGAATTATGCGGATTTTTGCTTCAGTGGCTCCTAAACTGTGATCCAATCTTCAACCAAGTCATAATAATAAATATAAATGCAGGAGATGGGCAGAGATACACATCGACGCACTGAGAGTGATTAAACGCTGGTGTCACTAGCACCTGCGGAAGAGAATGAGGTCAGTGCAAGGGGGGGGTTGCGTAAACATAAGGAGATTGTCCACGTGGAGCAGAGTGAGCCAAAAACAACACTGCGGAGGGCTCACTCTCCTGCCGCTCTCTGACGCGGTGTGAGGTCTCGTGTGATTCGCTGGAACTCCAATTGACTGGAGAGTCCAGCACCGCCAGTACAGGACACGGCGACCTGCCCAGTTCCGAGGAACAGCTTTGTCTTTAGCTGTCATCATTTGTTGAGTTTATCGGGTGCTGGCCGCATGCTGATTGGCTCAGCCGTGAAGAGCCAGACTGCAAGACTGCTGTTACATTCCTGAGAGGGGAGGGAGACTCGCGTGTGTTAAGCGGCACACTCAGTATAAGCATGCACACAGCACTGGACACAATCCTGAACTCATATCTTCCAGAATCTTCCAGATCCTTTGTTCTGCTGCCATCGGGTTCCTGACTGCAGTCCGTCCCAGTATGATTTTATTCTCCCGGAAGAATTTATTAGGCCTCAAAGGCAGCTCTGTCAAGAGGGGCGTCATACAAAAACTGGCTGGATTTTATTTTTCTGGAACTGGAAATTGAAAGTAAATTGCCTTTCGATTATATTTGCTCTAATCTTCTTCAGCTGCATGTAGGACAAATGCCACTTGTTTTACTTGCTAATAGTGATTTTATAGATTGGCTGCTGATGAAAGCAATCTGACATGTATCCAAATTAATCTGAGCTAGTTTTTGCCAGGAGACAGTAATGATGCAGAAGTTGTTCCCGAAGGTCTGATCCAGAAGATGTTCCTGAAGGTTTGATCCAGAGAGCTTTCTTGAAGGTCTGACAGCTGTGACTGTTTAGTTTCACCCAGTTATGATTTAGAATTAGGAATATTTTTATTTATAAATAAATGTCATAGCAAAATATCAGGAACAAAAAAAATCAATAAATACAGTGCAGGCAATTAAGAAACCAATGTAAGGTACTGCCTGTCTCCCCTTTGCATTTAGACTCAAATCTAAAGGTTTGGACCGTATGAATTAGGATTTCGTCATTTTGTTAATTTGACTTCCTCCGTCGGCCCCTGGAGGATGGGCTCCCCCTCTGAGTCTGGTTAGGGTTAGGGCTTCCTCTGCTGCCCCCTGGAGGATGGGCTCCCCCTCTGAGTCTGGTCAGGGTTAGGGCTTCCTCTGCTGCCCCCTGGAGGATGGGCTCCCCCTTTGGGTCTGGTTAGGGTTAGGGCTTCCTCTGCTGCCCCCTGGAGGATGGGCACCCCCTTTGAGTCTGGTTGCTCCCAAGGTTTCTTCCTTCTAGGGAGATTTCCCATGCCACTGTCCCCTCTGGCTTGCAAACTGGGTGCTTTGGCCAGGGATAATGCGAAAAGCTTTGAGACAATGTAATGTTGTGAAAATGCACAATAGAAATGAAATTTGCTAAAACTGAATAGCATCCTAAATACAATCCATGAGAATATTTTAGATTTGTGATGACCAGCACTTGTAGACAACTTCAACTTGGGGTGGGGGTGGCAGA